TCAGTCTAGGTATAAGACATATTACATACTTTTCTATGGTATTAAATTATATGGAATTTATGAATAAATTCCTTAAAATATGCAGTCTTATCATGAGCATAATTCTTATTCCTTATACTATGGTAGATTGTATGGATAGGCCATAATATTTTGATTTTTCAGTTTCATATATCCCCGAATAATATTTTTAAATTACAACAAAAACAAAGATCGTTAATATTGATTATAATACCTATGTAATTTCGTCCAAATTTGAATTTAAAATGTCTGTAAAAAATAACTGTGATCATATATTTTTAGATTTTTTGGTTATAGTATGAACTATTTATGAGAAACTTTGTTTTAAATTTGCAGTCTTTAGCTATAAAAACTGAACATTTTATAATTTATTAATTACAATGATTGATAATTTTCGAGATTTTGATAAATTTTGTCAAAATTCGATGTTTAAATGCTTATAAAAAAAAATTGTGCCCATGTATTTTTAATATTTTTCAATTGCTACTGTAACAATATATCAGGAACCTTGTATTAAATTTTTACACTTTTTGACCCAACAGATAAAACTTTATTGATATTTATAGAAAAAAAAAACTAAAAAAATTGAAAACTGAAAATGTCCGTAAACAGCTCAAAAAGAGTCGAAATATTTTCAAAATTGTACAGTGTATTGGAAATGCTAATCTGAACATTCAGTGAAATTCTCATGTATCTATAGTTATTTGTTTTGGAATTACAACAAAATAAGAAAACCGCTACATGAGAAATCAAGTGAATATCCAAAGTTGTAAAAATTTGAATTTCAAACGCTCATAAAAATTTAATTTGACTTTCCGGTAGAGATTTTTTTATTGATAAAGGTAGACAATCTTATGAGTAACCTTGTATTAGATTTTAAAATCTTAGATTTAAAAAGAAAAATTTTTACGAATTCTTAACTCAAAATAATTTGCAAATTTTCGTGATTTTTCCATATTTTGTCAATTTTTGAACTTTAAATGCTTATAAAAAAAAACTGTGACTAACGATTTTTAATATTTTTCATCTGCTTTTGAAACAATATACTGGGAGCCTTCTATTAAATTTTCAAGTTTTTTTAACCAACAAATAAAATTTTATTGATATTTCTAGAAAAAAAACTAAAAAAAAACGAAAAATGAAAATGTCCCTAAACAGTTCAAAATAAATCAAAATATTTTGAAAATGTTATCGTGTATAGAAAATGCAAATATAAACAACCAGTGAAAATTTCATGTAACTACGGTCATTTGTTTTAAAGTTACAACAAAAACCAAATTCAATTTTCTGAAAAATCGATTTTGCGTAAAAATTCCCGTTTATCCTTATTTTTTTTTTTGTTTTTTTTGGCGCTTTTGAAAAGTACTGGGAATTTTAAAATTTGACCTCCCCAATGCACCAACGATATTCCTTTCAAATCGAACAAGATACTGAAGTCGAAAATCGAAGCATTATTTCGACTACTTATCGTGTACACAGACACAAAAATAAAAATAAAAAAATAAAAAAAAACACACATCATTGTAAAATCAATACATTCATCGTTCCACTCAAAATCTAAAATTTATTGATACAATATTTTCCACTATAATAAATGTATTCATATGATAATGTAGATATCTGAATTGCACGTAACAGGTAGGTAAGCACTGACGAAAATAAATTCGTTAAAATTATTTTTCCTTCAATCGGTTTTTCTTTATTAGAACAGGTAGGTACCTATCTAAACTTTTTATTATTTTTAAGCTATACCTATAACCACGAAATATCATCGATTTTTTTTCAATAATTCTCAATAAATAATATTTCACTCAATTAAAAAACTTAAAATTGTGTTGACAGATTCTTATAAGTTGTTTAAAAAAATTTGGGCTTAAATGCACCAAAAATTATTATGGTGGGCTGAAGTTAAAATTTTGAAGGAATTCGTCAAAATCACTTAAATGTGCAAAATTATTTTTCAGTTAAGAAACATAGATGAAAATAACATAAACGTAATTTTAAAAACTGTCAACAACACCTAAGTTTGAAAATAAGTAAAATTTTCTAAATGTATTTCCTATATCAACGCGTATAGATCACCAATTAAATAAATAGTAGGTATAGTGCAGTTTAAGGCGTCAAAATAAGCTTCTTCCTTTTTAAATTTAAGTGACATGAAAGTTGATTAAAAAACCGTTTTCAATCACTTTCCTAGTTGGAACAATTAATATTTTTGAAAATTTTTTTTAGTAAAATTGTTACTCGCTGGTACCACCTCGAAATTCCCTAAAAGTAATATTTGTATTAGAAAAGCCATCAACAAGTAGGTCACCAAAACTCAAGTTCAAAAAAAAGTACATTTTTTCCTACCAATATATAGAATGGCATTTAAATAAATAGTGTAGTGCAATTTCATTTTAAAAGTCCATGTAACATAAACGTTGTATTAAAAATGACTCATTAATATTATACAATTACAATAGAAATTTGAAATATTATATTATTATAATCTTATATCTATAAATCTATTACTATTCCGTGGTATTTTACAAGAGATTACTTATCACCTATCGGCCCGCAGCCGCCACTCTGCCACAAACTACAACGTCGATTACTGGTTGGCGGCGGGTAGTGGTCACGGTTGTGAGTTGGGACTGGGTTAATAACTCACAAATAATTTAAAAGATATTCTGAACAAAATTGATTCTGAAGACATCATTAATAAATTAGGAGCTATAAGAGCCCAATATTTGGAAGAATGTTATTGTTTAAAAAATTAATAAATGATTTTAAAAATGTGTTTTGTTGTACATTGTTTTCTTTTGATATGGTAGCTCATATGAGTCACCTAATAATGAAGTGAGCTTATTTTATTTTTTTCATGTGGGCCAAGGGGTCCCTTTTAATAATGTCTCAGTAGGCCATAAATGGGCTATCCGACAAACTTGGTATAACTTTGATACTTTAGAGTTAAATAATCCACTTACGTACACACAGCACGGAGTCCACGATCTACCGCAGGTAGATTGCCTACCTTATAATATTATACTGCTATGAATCAGAATTTTTATTCCGGGCAACGGAAAATTTAAGATACATTTTGAACACCATACACCGAATATTAAACAACGAATAGTAAACAAAGTTTGAGCCATAAAGAGTAGGTACATTTAACAAGCAACGAAATGCACGGGATCAGCTTGTTTATTATATAAATAATTAACATATTTTATGTAAGAAAATCAAAAATATTAAAATTGAGTAGATATAATTTAACCAATGAAAATGAAAATATAATATTTAACACCACAATAATATAATATAGGTACTTTATAGTGTAGATGTCTCATTGTTATATCACAAATCATTGGCGATTTCAAGTGACTGTTTCATACATTCATAATAATAGCTATGGTGGGAATAAATTATAAATTAATAATTACAAACTACAAAACATTAAACAATGCAATACAATTTGTCATCATACTTTTTTTTAATAACATTTGACCATATTGCACATAAAATCAATCACAATTAAAAAATATTATGTTCTATAAGCTCGTAATAAATAGTGTCTAATGTTTTAAACATTGTTTACATAAAAAAAATCTCATTATCTAACTGTTTGTAATAAATATAACATTGTATTAAGTTTCAAAATATTAAACAAATGCGATATAAATATCAAAAAATATAAATATATACTTTGTATATGTACTCTGCAAAGTACCATTAACTGCTGTTGGGTAAAAATAATCATTTTTACCCAACTAATTATTGTCTTTTTTATAAATTCTATACAGATAAGTATTATAAAAACTTCGAGCAGCTGAACAAACATAGATGAAAGAAATTTATGTTTGAACAAAAGTTAAAATAACAGAAAAAAAACACTAATCCTAGAAAGCAATTAAGTATTATTTCCGTCAAAGTACTTGAGTGTTTTTATAAGAATTAGGTAATAATGTAACTTAAAAAAAGATACTCGATATAAACATGGAATACAGACTTAAGCCAGTTCTAATAACTTAACCTGACTTAAATGTTTGATAAAAGTTAATATAATGTGCTAAGAACACTAGACAGATTTGGTTAAGCAGCTCAGTGAGCAAACATGGTGAGCAGTCACACTCACGCACAAAAAAAATTCATACCAATAACAGATTCAAAATAATTTAACAAGTAAAACCAGACTAAAAATGTAAATTAAAGACTTAACAGTTCTTCCATGGTTCAAATACAAAAAAATTAAAACAAAGCTTTGTTGCACGATTTTTGTTTTAAAATATACGTCATTTGACAAAAAAAATCACACAATGAATTATGTATAATAGTTTTATATAAAAACATCATAATGTTATAATAATTGTTACAAGTAACACATCATTACATTAAGAAGAATTGACAATATTATCACGGATTATACATGAAACCGTACAAACAACCAGTTTGTAGTATTTTAATAAGTATATATGTGCACACATATTAGAATAAGAATTAATGTTATGTTTATTAATTTTATCACCAATTAATGAACTTAATTTTAAATAATATTCAATTAAAATATTTTATAAAAATTCTAATTGTTTTGTTTGAAAAAAAATAATATCACAATAAAAAATATTTCTACTAAAACAATAATAACTTGTCTATTTAAAATAATTAAATTAAAAAGATAATAGTTACCTACAGAAAACACATTTTGTACACTGCACCAGTACAAAAATTCAGATCACAAGGTAACGGGAAATATAATAAAAATAACTTACTCATATTTAAGTACAACAACAATAGTTTCAAGGGATAAAGAAGGAGATATACAATTTAAAAAACAAAATAAAATTTTACAGATTACAGATTTGAAACTGGTACAAAATAATAGAGAACTGCAAATTCAAACACCCTGAGTGAACAATTTGTGTTTTTAATTTTCTTTTCTGTTGTAGTGTAACATTCATTGTGTAACATGAACAAAAACTGTCTTTTAAAATGTGGTTTCATCAGTTGTAGAACTCTTCGATTAAATCTTTGTATTTTTCGTTCACAACGGGACGTTTAATTTTTAATGTAGGACCTGAAACAGTTAATCATTTACATTATTAGTTGCTTATTAAACAATTCATTTAATAGTTATTTAGAAAAATAAATTTTGCGGCTCATTATAATTGAAGAGAAAAAGATAATAAATTATTGATATTACTGTTGAGAACATAATAATTAAAATAATAAAATGTAATCAATTAACATCTTTGAAATACATTCAAACAATTTAGAAGGCCATTTTAGATAATTGAATGACTGTAAAGTTTTAGAATAATATATGATAAGAAATGTAGAGAAATATCTATAAAATAGTATTAATGCTGACATAATGTAATAAATAAACAATAGATAAAAGTTAAATTAGTTTTTTTAATCGGCTTACCTAATTCACCAGTAGGCAAGGAGAAATCAACTGGCAGAAGCGAAAACTTTTGGATTTTCTGTGCATTAGATATAGCTTTCTTGTTGGCTGCATCAATGCCTTTTTGTATCGCATCAAAAACTTCTTTAGGTTTGTTTGCTACAACCTCCGATACTTTAGTAAACTTACAATTAAGTGACGATAGCCATGAAATCACTTCAGGTGTTAAAGTGTCGAGTGGCTCAGCAGTTTCAGCATCTACTTCACACTGAAAACAGATAAAAATGTAATTTAAAAAAATTGATAAACAATTTTAAGGAAAATAAAACATAATACGTATATAATATAATATACCCTTAGAGATAACAGTATGGACAAGAATTTTCTCTTGTCACCTATTAAGAAAGCATTGCTAACAACTGGTAATACGGCTTTAACATTGTTTTCGATTAATACAGGAGGTATGTTCTCTCCACCTGCTGTTATTAACAATTCCTTAAACACAAAACAACATAAATTAGTTATGCAAGTAGGAGTTTATACTTAATTTAATTCTCCTTACCTTTATTCTTCCAGTAATAACAACATATCCTTTATCGTCTATTTGGGCAATATCACCAGAATGAAGCCATCCATCAGTGTCTAGGGTACTCTCTGTTTTTTCCATCAGATTCAAATAACCCATAAACACATGACGTCCATAAATACACAACTAAACACATTATGTTAAATTAATATTGCATTAAAAAAGCTATGAATGATATACATTCATGTAATATGTATATTGTAGTACAAAATAAAAATGTTGATATTTACCTCGCCATTACCGTCCTTGTCGGGTTTGTCAATTTTTGAAGTGACTCCTTCTAATGTTTTTCCAACACCAGCAACATTTTCATCAGTTGGATTACTCAATGTATGTGCACCTCCACACTCAGACATTCCAAATGCCTGTTAAACTCATATAAAATTAATTAAAAGTCCAAACAATTGTTAAGAGTATAATTATCATAGTACTTCGCACAAAGGTATGTCCAAACTCATAAAATATTTTTTTAGTTCCACTGATATAGGAGCAGCAGCCGAAATAAAATATTTGCATCTATCAAAACCAATAGCACTTTTGATACGACCATATATTAACCATCTGAAGAATTTATAGGAGTATGTTTCTCTTTCAACTCTGTAATATAAATATCAAAAATGTTATTAAATTGCATAAAAAAAATAATTGATTTAAAATAAATAATTCAGGATTTAATAATATTTACGTAAATAAATAAATAAATAATTGATACTGAAATAGAATTAAAAATTATATTTTTTTTACATTTTTATTGAACACCAATCTAAATTAATTAATATTGTTTCTATAAAATATACCAAAATAGAACCATAGCACCCTACTGGTCTACTCGATATTTTTCCTCTAGGAAAATCTATGAACCATAAATGTTTTTGTTGAAAAGTAACCATGACAACAAAAACTTTACAAAAAATTAGTCAGAAATAAAAAACGTGTAACCAGCTCAAAAACATATTTACCTCTGTTAAAACTATGCTATATTATAATAATGTCTAGCACTAAATGTACTAACCCTTTCATTGCTTCTTCATAATGATTTAAGCCAACTTCTTTAGCCCAATCAGCAATGTACTTCTTCAATGAACCCGATTTTCGGCCAATACTCACTAATTTTTCGTTAATTTTTTCCCAAACACGAGGGACACCCAAGAAAACTGTAGGTCTGGCAGCTTGAAGTGTGTTCACTAAAGAACCCTAAAATCACATAAAAATATATCTATGAAATAAGTACACAATATGTATTAAGACATTTTAAATCTCACAAACAAACCTTTAGAGCGTCTTTTTCACCAAAAAATACTTGAGCCCCTATTGAGATTGCACTATATATATCAGTAATCTGTAATATTAAATGTTGTTAAAAATGAATCATTAACTTTTGTAGATTTACATACTTGTGCTGCAACATGACTCAAAGGTAAATATGATACGAGAACTTCTTTGCCATCCATCAAGGATAAGAATTTTGTTATCACATATGCGTTGTATGTTAGATTATCATGACTAACCATGACTGCTTTTGATGCGCCTTCAGTTCCAGACTATTTATAATATATATTTTATGAAATAATAATAAAATAGAAATCAACAGGAATGTTTTGATAAAAATGTTAAATAAAATTTACCGTAAATACTAATGTACAACACTCATTGACTCCCATGGTTTTCAATATGGCATTTAATTTGTCATCAGATTCAGCTGATCCAATTCTCATTACATCTTCCCACTAGCAAAATACATAAAATGGAAATATATTATGCTACAATTTTAAGAATGATAACAGCCTATATTTAATAGATAAATATACCTAGGTGTACAAAAAGTATGGATGATGAAGTGTAAAAATTAGGGACTTCATCACATCAAAATTACTCATATATTATATTTGATATGTAAATATAATGCTCTCAAATAAGAATTTATAAAAAAAACTTATTTATTTTTAAACAACATTTTGGTTTACACCTTATTAGCCTATTCTGTATTAAAAAATAAATATAAGAGGAACACACTGTCAGAAATGACTATCAATTATGGTTTGTTTATATTTTTTCAAAACTTGGTCAATCATAATAGGTATGTACAAAAAACAAATATAAATAACAAAAAATACACAAACTATAGTCTGTCCCACGAAAGAACGGGACCGTTTCGCGCATGTAGACTGATTTGATTGGTGAGTGGATAACCACGTGATCACACTTACAACGAAAAGTTGGTGGGGGATGCGCGGCGGCGAACGAGTTTTGGTCGGCCGCCGGTCCCGTTCTCTCGTGAGACAGACTATAGGAAAAAGTAATTATTTTTAAATAATACACAGTATTTATGATTTTGTGTTAAACATGTTTAAATATGCAAAATTTAAAATATTAACTATTGTCATGAAACATCCATTAAACTGTTTGATAAAATTATGCAGCTCTAAATACTATTACTTATTTTTACGCACTAAAAACGATCAAAATATAATATATAATATGTAGTCAAAAGCGTCAAAATATGAAACAAATATGCAAGAAAAAAATGTTTAGTTGGGTATATGATAAAAAAGTGTATAATTTTTATTTGATAATTATAATTATTAGTTTATAAATTGATGATGTATCAAAATAATTTAAAACAAATTGAACAACTTGTAATAAGATATCTACTTAATGAACTTATTTTTATTTAAATTTCTATTTAGTAATATTTAGTAATATTTAGTAATTTATGAATTTTCTTATTCGACAAAAATTATTTTACAACCTTTTTTTAAAAAAAAATTTGCACTTTAAAATGTAATAAATTTTGAACTTCGTCAAATTATGCTCAAACATCTCATCCGAAAAAAAGGTTGCTTTAAGTTTCAAACTATTATGATTTGTAATGATAACTGATAAACATCCAAAAATGTGAAAACGAAAAAATTTACAATTACATAAAAATTTGCCATTTGCTTATATATAACATAACTAAACTAATAACTTACAGATAAAACACCCTCTTCAGTAGGTTTCCCTTCATATTGGATGATGGCTTTCAAATGGGGTAGACGACTTTTGATTGATAGTATTTTTTCCAATTGTTTACTATCTTCAACTACAGCAATATTTGCCCTACTTGTCTCTAAACAGTGGAGACAAGCATCAACAAGATTTGTTGTATACATTCCAGCAGCAAAACCCCTTTAATAACAATAAATAATCATTTAATACATTTTAAGATGCTAATAAATATAAACAAAATAAAATAAGACTTCAATAATTAAAGTACACATTAAACATACACATAAGAAATATTTATCTGTGGTGAAAAGTGTACAGTAATTTACAAGTCAAAAAAATTTATCTTACCCAGCATAAATAGCGCCTAAGTCTGAGTAAAACCATTCTGGTGAGTTGAACCCAATTATACAGACACCATGAAATCTTTCAAGGCCCAACTTTATAAAAGCTTTAGCAACAGTTCGTACATTTTGTTCATATTCTCTGTAAATACATTTTATACATTTATTAAAATTAGATATATTTTTTAAGTAATTATAATTTTAATAACAATCAAATTTTATATACACATACTTATAAGTAACTTTGACCCATTTATTGGCCGATTTATAATTTAACGCTGGTAGATCTCCATATTTTTCAGCACTTCTAGTCAAAAGTCCGGGTACAGATACAGGTGTATTATCTGCACCAACCTCAATTCTTAAAGTAACTCGGCCATTTGCTTCACTTGTATACTTTTGTGAAGCAGGTAAAACTTGATCTGGTCCATCTAAATATGACAAATTTCATTATTATTATTATTATTATTATTATTATATACCTATAATATCATTATTCAATACTGAACAGTTAAGAGAGCATCTGATTCAGTTTCAAAATTTATTATTATAAATAATTTAACATAATATTTAATTAATAATTTAATATAAAGAAAGAAGCAAAAACTCACAGTTTTCTGCTGGTTTGGAGCTTTCAAAACTTTAATATGGAACATAGAAAAACAAAGGAAAAAACATATAATATTAATAATAATTTATAAATTAGCAATGTAAAGTCTAAATGATTAATTTTTAGAAATCATTTATAAAATACTAACCTCATTGTTGTGTTATTTTCAACAACAGCACTAGGTAAAAATGAATTCTATGAAACAAAAATCAAAATATTAATATAATGACCGGAAACAAAAAAATATTTCTTAACAGATTCATTTAACTATATTTTGTGTTTTGATCTATCGATTATCTGTAAGCACTACAATTATATTAATTATATATTATTTGACAATAACTAACCTCTTTTATTTTGTACTGATTTCCACCATTTTGCATAACACTTGGAATAATATCACCGTCATCACTCATAATGAATCAAATAAGAACTGAAAAAATAAAAATAGAGATCAATTATTAATAAAACAGATTACAAATCATTAGGTATATTATCTGTTTAATCCAATTAGGGAAAAAAATAAATTTAAAATGTGATAACATAAGTATATCTGATGAACTACATTAATTATAATAATATATTATTAGATATTAAAATAATTATATTTCCATGATTTATGATAGGATTGGTCATAAACCAAAGTTCATTTTTATTCTCTAAACATACCTATTTGGCTATATACCTATAACAAACCTTTTAATCTGCTTTAAAATGAAATATACACATAGAAACTATTTATTAAATTTATTTTGATTACAGAAATGTGAATGGGAACCTATTTCACAAATTATTTCATGCAAAGGATTATAAAAAAAATTGATTTTCTGCCTTCAAAACTTCTTTCTCAGTAATTTTTTTTTATATTAATAATTTATCAAAATATCTATGATTAACTTCCACTCGGTAGAAGTATACAGCAGACGTTCTCAAACTTTTGTTCCCCATATATCAGTATTATACGGAACAGTCTTACAATACTAATGAATATAAATAGAACTATTCAACTATACAAATTCTTAATACATTTATAACAATCATAATTTAAATTTTACAATATTTAGTATTCACACAAAATATAATATAATATTAGATCATTGACAATCATCAGCAAAATTATTTATTTATTCATTTTCCATACAACCACAACCCGGCCTAACGCATATCACTATGTAACCAATAGCCTACCACATACCATCAATGATACACATTACAGTTTAAAAATTGCTATATAGGGTATATTAGCCTTTTAATAATTTTAATAACCCAAAAGTATTTTTTTAGAGAAAAAGATCACATCATTGTAAAACCAAGAATTTCTTCAGAATTTAAAATTTTTGTATCAATTATTGGTTTATTTTAAATTTCAACAATAACTTACAAAGACACGTGTGTTTATATCATAGGTAGTTATAATCTTCAACTATTTATAGTTTATTCTGTCGATAGTCTTATTTATTAAGTCATTGAACCTATGTAGCCATGTAGGTACAATGTACCTTCCTATATTAAAGTGTTATATTTTTTATCATATGAGTAAAAATGTATTTACATTAGTCAATTTTGTTGAACGTTTTATATATATCTAAGAAGTATATGATACCTAAACATTCCAAATGTATTAATGATTATTTAATTATAATATCTATAAAAATTAACGATAGATTTTCTTCTGTACACATAATAAGCATGGCTTGAAAAAATTGTAAGTAATCTGACCTTACAAGTTTTAAGTACCTTTACTATTCTCATGTCTTCTTTAAAATAGGAAGTTAGGTATTCAAAAATGACCTTCAGTTTAGACATATACTAATATTTGGCATTGCTTATAAATTACAATGTTAGATTTAAGATTGAACAAACACAATCATTAAAAATATAAATCAATGTTCAAAATTACTGTGTAAATTATAAATATATTATATATTATATATATTCCTCTTGGAATATAACATCAATATTTTAGAATTGTTTTATTATATTTACCTATCAGAAGAAATTAAAAAAATGTGATTTTGATTAAAATATAATAAGTATTTTTAATTTATCATAAATAAGTAGTTACAGAAAACTTTATAGGTATTAAAAAAAAATTAATAAAAGTTGATACCTACCTACAATATTAATAATTATTCTACCACAGATTGGTCAAAGATTTATTATTTTAAAAGTTTATTATGTTTTTTTTTTACCTATAATAAGCCGAATAATTGAATAGTATATTTAGTATTTACCTGTTTAATAAATTAAGATAACATAAAATGAATTTCTAGTTGAGAGATCAACAGTAATTAATTGATTTAATATTTTAATCAATACAGAAAGAAGTACATACATATGAACTTTCTGAAAAATATTACCTAATTAGACAGTATAAAGATAAATTGATTATTCACCAACAACAAAAATGTATAGTAGCCAATAGGTTTGATTAATTTTGAGTAATAGCGAATTATTAGATTAGTAAGAATTTATAATTGACCTCTTCAATAATTTTTAATCAATTTTTAATAAAAAATTAATGTTTATGGTAAGACAACAATTATAAAAGCATTTTTTCACAAAAATTCTAGGTAATTGTAATAAATCACTTAATTATATTATACTAACTAACTATTTCTTAAATGTGAAAACCACAACATGTGCTTACACACTGGCTCGAGTTATATTCAAGCAACAACAATTATTATTAGGTAATAACAATTAAAACCTTGAACAAATTGTTCAGTACCTACATTTATACATTGAATTATATAACTAATAATATTTTACTTATTTTAATTGGTAAAACAAAGTATTACAAGAACTAGACACTTCATATAATTAGGTATACCCAGTCAAAATAAATGTTTATTTTTATTTAGGTATTCATTAACTACCTGCATTATAAAACAATTAAAATATTCTGACAGGTACATCAAAGGGAAAATTGAAAAACAAAACATAGGGAAGTTGTTTTGAATTTCATCTAGACTTGATTTTTTAATCATTTAAAATGCAACAATAAACAGTATATCATTCTCATATGATTTGTTTAATTATGTCTATGTATTTAATAAAAAATTTATAAGAATTACCTATAACCAAATAATTTTTTTTTCATATATTTTCAAAGAAAAAATAACATAATATAGGTAGTATCAGGTCTAAGAAGAAACTATAAAACAAGGATGTGGGCTACTTAAATATTTATTGAAACAGGTTTAGTTTAAAATCAAGTTTATAGTTCATCTGTTATTCAACATGACCTCAAAAATATATACCTATCTAAAATCAACTAACCTTACTAACAATATAGTGCCAACTTACTACATATATCACTACATTCTGATAAATGTTTTCTCGAAGGGTATTCCACATAGTGTATCAAGCTATTTTAAACAGAATCGTTTAATTACCTATATATATATTATATTATTATTACCTACCTCTGTCATATTTGTTATTTGAAAACGGGTACCTATTTAAAAACCTTAAATTGGTAGGTACCTAAAATATAAGACAAATAAATTATTACATTTATTTGATACAAGTAAAGTACAGTAAAATCTATACAAATTTAAATATAAAAATTCAAGGGGCCAAAAAAATTATAATTACAGATAATAACAAGTATACAGATTATTTTTTGTTTTAGTTAAAACTTGGTCCAACCAAGAAACATTTGTAGGGAACGTGTGTTTCTGACATAGACGTCGACAAATATTTATGTTACCGCTAATGAGAGAAAATCAGAAACATTGTCGATGACAATGTTGGAAACACGGGTTTCCGACAAATTTTTTTTAGGTCTGGTTGGTGCTTAATATCAAAAGTATTTCTATAACACCCAATATTTTGTCTTATTTTAAACATATACTCCACTTAATCTGTTAAAGGTAGGTACCAATTTATTAATTAATGTATATGGTACATAGTCATAAAATAAATTATGAATACCTAGGAACAAAATATAATTTAATTTTAAGTTTTAAAGATTTTTTCAAATACTTTTATAGTTCCAAATTTCTGATAATTTTTATAAAAATTAATTTGCAATGTGTACAAACTATACAGTTTATATGATTAAATTTATTCATTCAAATTAGCTTATATTAATAATATTAAATCATAAATTTAATATCACTGGCACTTAGTGTAAAATTAGGTGGTAAATGAAAAAAAACTTACGATTTTATTTTAAAATAAATGTTATATAACATTATAACCTCTTAGTCTAAAAACTTCTAAAAATATATAAGTAAAAATCTAGGTATGAATAAATGGATATAAGCAAGGAACCTGTAATGAAAGACTAACCTTCTGTATCCAATAAATATTAAAAAATGTCCTCCTTAAATTTTTTGAAAAAAATTAAAAGAATCAAATATTTATAATTTAATACCTACCTATTCCTATGCCAAGTATATACCTAGAAAATTAAAATATATACTATATACAATATACATACATATATAAATGCCATTCCAAGCCTAACTGTATAGGTCACAGACTCACTGCTGCTGATTAAATTCATGTACTTTTTAATTAATTAATTTAGGTAAATACTATATGTTTTTACAAATCCTTTGAATTTGAATTTGGATATATTACATTTTATTTGAACCGTAATAAGAAGATAAGAGTTAGATACATCTTATATACAATTTACTGTCAAGATACAGCAATATTGAAGAAAATAAAGTGAAGAAGAACTAGGTAAATCATAAGGTAGTTCATTGATAAAACAAACCTTATAAAACATGTGGACACATCTATCATGGGTTTAGTTAGACTATCAGAGTAATCAATTGTTCCTTAAAAATAAAACTCTTTAAATTAATGTTGAAAAATAAGTGTCCACTGTAATTAGGTACATACTCCAAGTATAATTACAGTAAAACTTCCATATAACGAACTTCCAACTAACAAAATGTTCTATTTAACTAAATATTTTTGTGAACCAAACCAATTTAGAACCAAATGTAGGTATTTAATTCTGTTTTACAACATTCTCTGTAATACATATTTTTTTGTAGCTCACGAGGCCATGAGACTTTGTAATATAGAAGCATCACTGTACCTACATGGCTACATATTATATAACTTAAAAAGATAAAATAATTTGATTTGGATAAATTGTTATAATTATGGGACTGCGAGTTTAGGCAGTAAAAAACCTTAAAAAATGAATTTAAAATATCAAAAATTCACTTTAAAATGCACTATACATAATATATCCTGAAAAATGAGTTCAAAATTCAAAATACAAAATGTTAAGAAAAAACTATATTTTTAATTATTTTTAACCATTAAGGAAAAAAGCTCTATAAAAAGTTTTTAATAAATATTAAATGATATTTGTAAAAATATCAAAAAAAGTAATAAAGAATGAAAAATTGACCAATAAAAGATAAAATCAATCATTAAATGAAAA